CTGGGCTCTGCAGAGGGTATTCCATTTCTGCTGTTTCCTCCAGTTTTGGACACATTGCCACCGGGATGTCGCTACACTTGTCTCCTCTTGGGACATTCTGTTGTGACTTCGTGTGTTGGTGACTACCTGTGGCTGTAAGTGTCCTCCTAATTATCAGTTGGCTCCATGGCTGAGAGTCAGGAAAGCAGTAGATTAATTCTACTAACTTGACCCCAAATAGTAAGGGTCTCAGTGACCGTGTGGAGACCTCAGGCCAGATGGCCGGGCTGTTGCCTTGCCATTGCATCTCCTCCCCACAGCTGGCCCTGGTACTGCTGCAGCCCTCCACCTCCAGGTGGCAACCCTCCTGCAGGCCACCTGTGTGCGTGTGAGCACCAGGTTTCCTTAGCAGGTGCAGGGGCACACAAGACCAGCTGCACTTCGCCAGAGCTCTTCTTGGTCGGAGCCCTGTCTGGGCTGTACCTCTGCTGGAGATACTGTCCACCTGTGATAGGCCTTTCTGGACCCAAGACACTAACTTTGTCCTACACCCCAGCCTTTTAATTTCAGGCCTCATGCCACCTTCTAGAAGGAACTTCTTACAATTTCTGCAGTAGGAACAAGCTCAGGCCCCTGCACCTACCCCTGGTGGAGCCCACTAGGACCCTGGAGGCTGCCCATCTCCTGGCAATCCTAGGCAGGGCCTCTGGGCCTCCTCCCTCCGGGCAGCTGGGAAGCCGTTTCCTCGGAAACATTTATAAGCAGATGTTGTGAAAATACCAATTATGTGGTTTGGTTGGATTCAATCTCTATCTAATCGTAGAAACTAATTATAGGTTGCCACTACTAAATAATTTCAAGGAAAAAATCAAATCATGTTATTTTCTTGCCAATAAACCACTCAACTATGTGTAATCTTATCATTTGATGTGAAGTACGGGTTTTATTCAAGATTAAGTTTAACACACAATTGAGCCACCTCTCACGAGATGAGCAGGTCAACATACCACAGGGCAATTTCAGTCCAGCAAGTCCAGCACAGACTCCAGCTTACATGGAAATGACATCATTATCACTATTATTGCTACTAGGGAACTGACTGCTGACCTCATACATGCCAGGCAAGCATTCTACCATTGAGCTACATTCCCAGCCCTTTTAAAATTTTTGTTTTGAGACAGTCTCGCTAAGTTACCCAGGCTGGCCTCGAACTTGTGATCCTCTTGCCTCCTAAGTCACTGGAATTGCAGGAGAGGGGCCACCATGCCTGGCTGTTTCATGACCTTTTGATGTCTCAAGCTCAGAACCCCCTGAACAGAGCGTGATGACACCCAAGAAACGAAGCGTGTGACCCGTGAAGAGGTGCAGTGCCCTCCACACTAGCAGACAGGGGTTCTTGCCATTCAGTAAGCAAGCATCCTCTGCTCTTCTGTCTGACAACTCCTCTGATGTCGTAGATCTGGAAGCAGATCTGGGCTTACAGTACCTGCCCTCCTGTGGTCGGCCTCATAATAAAGCTCCTTCCTTTTGTAAAACCAGGAGACGTGGTGCTGGCTTTTATGCGTGAGTCATTGCTGGGGTGCCTCTGAGTGCTGGATGCCTGTGAGACCAAAGCAGGGCCTGCTGGTGTGCCCCCAGAGCTGGCTGTGAGACCCCTGGGGGAGATACAGGAGTCAAGGGGAGGTCCCCCAGACAGGCTTCGTGGGAGACACTCAGTGGAGGAGAGGGGGCTTCTGGGGGCCTGTGTGCCCCCAAACCCCTCCCCTGGTATGGTGGGTTAGTTGAGCCACCCACCCACACTAAGGTTTCAGAAGTCAGAACTAAAGAGACAGAGACCCTGGCAGTGAAGGGTACTGGAGTACGATGAACAACATATTTGACCCTGGGCTGGGAGTGTGATTCAGGGGTAGAGCATCTGCCTAGCAATAGCAAGGTCCTAGGCTCAACCTCTAGCACAAAAACAAAATACATACATATGTTTGTATATATTTTAAAATTTGTTCTTTATCTCTGGTTTTTGGCACTGAGCTCCTGAAACACGTGGAATCTCCAGAGGGTCAAGAGTAGCTTTGTTATTCATCATGAGTCCCTTTCCCATTGCACCTGAGTCCATGCCAATGAGGCCACTTGGGTGGGCCTTGGACTGTGGAGGATGGGTGGCCATGGAAAGACCCTGAAAACTGATGGGTGAGAACTCTACCCTACCCACCCCACCTGCAGGGAGAAGAGCAGGAGCAGAAGTGGAGGCATAGACACACACACACACACACATATATATAGGATGAATCTTTATTTTTGTTTATTTTTATTTTTATGTGGTGCTGAGAATCGAACCCAGTGCCTCACACATGCTAGGCAAGTGCTCTACCATTGAGCCATACCCCTAGCCCCTAGACACTGCTTGTTTTTTTAAAAATTAATTATTTATTTGTTGTCAATGGACCTTTATTTTTTATTTATATGTGGTGCTGAAGATCGAACCTAGTGCCTCACACATTCAAGGCAAGTGCTCTACCACTGAGCCCCAGCCCCAGCCCACATAGACATTCTTGAGGGATGAGATTTGAAGGTATCGAGGTGCATTGAGGAGCTGGGTGGGGGGCATCCTTTCTTGTATGGATGCTGGGGGCTGAGCTGGGCCCTGTGGGCTCAAACCTGGCATCTACCACTGGGATGCTGGTGCCAAGCACTGTTCTTCCTGCCAGGGTCCTTGGCACTGTCGGAATGTGGGTACTCTCCCCAGCTCCCAGTCTGAGCTTCTAGAAATTACCATACCCAGAATGCAACACACCCAAAGCACTGCAAATCCTGGCAACAGCAGGCACACCAGGTCAGAGTGGGAAGCCTCCAAGGCCTCTGTGGGCAGTGCTGTTGCACAGGTGCTGCCCTCCCCAGGAACAAAGGGCACCAGGCTCTTGGCTCTTATCTGGGGAATGATCCCTGGGGCCACAATGAAGACAATCACTTATAACTGCTTAAGGCATGAACTTGGTTCTCTCAAAGAATGGAGGCCTGTGGCCACAGAGACACAGGTCCCTCAATGTCTTGGGGTGACTGCTCCTGTAGGGCCCTCCAACCAGGGCCACCAGGTTTTAAGACACAGACCTAGTCTATATCCACATACTTGTATTCCCAGCATGATGCTCCTCTGTGCAAACTGGCCAAGCTCCCAGAGGTTATGTTGGGGCATGATCCATCATTAGAGTAAGGAACAAGAAACACACAACTTCTTACTGTCAGGTAAGTGGCAGTGACTTAGGACAAAGCAGCCTGCGTGCCAAAGAAACATCAATCAGGCACCGGCAGAAATCCCTGTCAATCAGTGGGATCTCCTGACTAATGCCTGTCAATCAGCAGGACCCCCTGGCCAATCCGGGAGTTCAGCTAGCTCCCTGACCAACTCCAATGGGACAAGGGACTCTAAAAACACTTTTACAGTCCCAAGCCCTTCCCTTCCTGCCTAAGCCCCATAAAATTCCAGTCCAGTCAAGCTCCCACATGGTTTCTCCTCAGACCCTTCTCCTGTCCACTCTGATTGAGTTCCGCCTGGGAGTGATATCTCAAATATAGCCTCTTTGGCCGCCTTTTAAAAATCTGCCTCTTTTGGTCACTGCCGGCCTTGCCTGATCTCACACTTACCAAATCATATACCTCCAAGTACAACAAAACTCCTCTAGACTGAATGATCCAACCAGATTGTGGGAGGTCCATAACTTCTCCAACACTCAAACCTTTCCCTTAGTGTCCCTGAATATTCCTACTACAGTGGTGCCAGGGCATGATTACTCTGCCATGGAAATGAAATTGTGTGTCCTTTTCTTTTGGTCAGTCTTGAATCCCTGGAGTAATGGAAGCAAAAGTCTCTAAGGAGCAGTGGCCATCAAATACTGCCACGCTGCTGAGCATGTCCATGACCACAGGAGAGAACCAGACATAGTGGCAACATCAACCTGGAGGGTGCAGTTCCACCTGTGTGAAGTCTAAGAAAACTCAGAATGGAGAGATCAGAATGCTGGCTACCCTGAGGGGCATGAACTCAGGAGGGGCAGGGAGCTTTGGGGACCATCCTAGGTCTTGACCAGCATGCCCGTAGGTAGAGGCACATTTCTGGGCAAACATTCATTGAGTTGCACAGTCCAGATGTATAAGCTTTACTTTAAGCCATGCCGGAGTGCCCAAAGCCCTCCTGTCCTGGAGTCGGGGCCATAAGCTGTGGACGAAGGCGCTATCCTCGGCCTCCATCCCCAGGATAAAACGGAAAACAGCTCTAAAGGAAGGGCCTACTGGCCGGAACTCCTGCACATCTCCCCACACAGGCCTTCCTCCCCTGTCCGCGGCGCCTGGGTGCTTTCTTAATGTTGAAAACATTGCTTATAAATGTGTTTTGTGAACACAAGAGGCCGTTTAATATGGACATCATTTCCTAAGAAATGAATCTTCATTTTTATTTTAAAAAGGGGGTGAGAAAGGCTGGAGAAACGCGAAAGGTTGAATGGGAAATGGTGGGACCAAGGTGCCACGAGAGGAAGGCCCAGTGGCTCCGGGCCCTCCCGCTACGGGGGCTTTTGGCCTGCGAGTTGGTTTTGGATACTGGGCCTTTCTCCGTATCCGGACTCCCATGGCGGTTAATCCATGAAAACCGGGACATAGGCAAGGAGTCACCCAGAGCAGGGGAGGCCGCGGGGACCGCCAGCAAGTGTATCCGAGAGGTGACCGCAGGGGGGGTGACCACCGGGAGAGTGCAAGCGCCACGCGCGGCAACCACCGGGCCCCACACGCCTCTAGGGACGCGCCCAGCCAGGACACCTCTCAGTGCCGATCCGCCAGGGCCAAGGCGTCTGTGGCCAAGGCTCCGCGGGGAATTCAAGGAGGAAGCCACCCGTCAGACCTGTCGCCGATTGGCTGAGGCTGGAGAAGGCCGACGGTGATTGGTTCGCGCCTTTCTGCGCAGCCAGCGGCGGGGCGACGCGATTGGTGCGGACGTACTGCCCGCCCCGCCCCGCGCCCGTCACTACCCGGCGTGCCTCGCGCCCGCCTCCTCCGCTCGGCCGGCCCAAGATGGCGGTGCAGGAGTCGGCGGCCCAGCTGTCCATGACCCTGAAGGTGCAGGAGTACCCGACCCTCAAGGTGCGCGCTGCTGCGCCGTCCGGCTTGCCGCCGCGCCTCCCGCCGGAGTCTCGGGGAGTGCGGGGCACGGGCCGGGCGCGGAGGGCCCGGGGGCGGGGTCCGCGGGGGGCGGCGGGGCCGGGCGGGCCGGGCCGGGCTCCAGGATGAGCGAGGGCCGGGGGCCGGGCGCTGGGCGTGGCCGGTGGGGCTGGGGGTGGCCCGAGGGCGGCTCAGGGCCTAGGCTCCGGCGGGTCAGGCCCGCGTCGCTGGGCAGTCTGCGGCGGCAACCGGAAGCCCGGTGGGGCGTGGCGGCCGCCTCCGCGTTAATGGGGCGGGGACCGGGCCCAGCTGCCCAGCTGCCCTCGGTCTCCTCTCGGGCCTTGGCCGCCGGGGGCGTGACCTTGGGTGGGCGCGGCGCCGAGTCGCGCTCCGTGGAGCTCCTCGGACCCGGGCTTTGAGACGCTTGACGGACTGCGCCGGGAGGGATTCCCTTCGGGGACCAAGGTCGGACGTTCCTGCGAGAGCCGGCCGCGCTCTGGACCCTGCGTTCCTTTCCTGGGGGATGGTGGCTTTTTTCCGACCAGAGCAGCCAGCGACACCGTCCAGCTCACTGGTGATAGGTGGTGTGGCCGAGTGGCCCCAAGTCGGTTTAGCCGGGCATGGAGAGCATAGGCGCGGAGCTGGCCTGCGCCGTCGAATCCTGCGCCGTGTGCATAGGGGAGCCCTGGTGCTTGACTGGTGCTTCACACGTCAGCCCGGTAGCACCCGTGTCCCTGGCAGTCTGGAAGGCACCTGTTGGCGTTGTCGCTGCTGACGTCTGGCCGCCCTCTGTAGTTGTCCTCAGAGGAAAGCAGAGCTCATTAGCAGGTGAGCAGCCATGTTGCACAGCAGCTTTGTATTTCAGTGTGTGTTTGACCAAGGAAGTGAGGGCAACGTTGCTGGCCCCACCAATTCTTTGCCAGGACCCAGGTGGTGGGCATTTATACTCTTTTTTGGTGCCACCGATGGATTTCTATAGGTAAGAGATGAAGACCCCTCTGCTCAGAGTGATCTGTACTGTGGCCCATCAGAGGGGTCCTTTAACCACTGACCTTTAGCCCCAGGCAGCTTCTGCCACCCTGTTGGCAGATCAGAACTGCCTTGCTTTTGGTTTGGCTGGTGAATGTGGGAACCACCAGGCAGGAAAGTTTGCAGAAACCCTTCCATTACTCATTGAATGCACTAGGAAGGGAAATGGATGGTTAGGAAAGGGTTCTTCAAGTCCTGTTTTCTGATGATTGCCTGCATACTTTGCATTCCAAAGCTTTGTGTAGCTCTCTGAAAATGATCATGAGGGTATTCTAGCAGACACAGAAAGATGGTAATATCATTGCAGGCAAGTTGCAATATTTAAAGAAAACCTTATTTTATTTCTTAATAATGATACTACAGCAGAATTTTTGCACATAGAGATGCTACTTCCCCTAGGAAATAGCAGTCTTGCTCTTCCATTCCAGGTCCTTTAGAGGCCATCCACACACTACTTCCTCTATTCTGTTGACTGCATGTCCCTGTTAATTTTTTTTCCCTTAGGAAGTTTTCAGGAGTAATTCTTAGTGAATGATGAGAAGGGTTTAATTGGGAACTAGGGATCATTGATTTAGGAGTTTTTTTTTTTTTTTTTTTTTTAATTCTTTTATACTTGTAGATGGACAGCATGCCTTTATTTATATTTTTATGCTGAGGATTGAACCCAGTGCCCCACACATGCTAGCCCAGGAGTGTTAGTTAATAAAGAATTAACAGAAGGCTGAGGGCTCCAGAGCTGCACTGTTGGCAGTTGTGGAAGGTCCACACGCAGGCACAGCCTAGAGTCAGAAGGCAGTGAGGGCTAGGTGCCAGCAGGCATGGAAATGAGTGTGCTTTTTCAGTCAAGGGTGCGTTCTCTTGCAGGATCATGGGAACTGGTGGGTATTGGACTGAATTTTCTGGGGAGAGTTTAACTGCTTTCTTGCTGAGTAAGTCTTTAGACATGCAGGTTTGGGAGCCTCAGGTGGATTCAAGTTTTTGACTCGAGATGTCTACCTCCTCAGCCTCAGGGCTGGTGGTGGGCTCCTGGGTACCTGGGTACTGTTTTTCTTCAGGTGTTGTTTTCAGCATGTCCTAGCCCTGGGCAGGTTCTGTGCTGCACCCCCATGTCCACCACAGTGGGTGGACCAAGGCAGGCCTTCCCATAGCCCTATGCAGCCCTGCCTGGCAGGGTGTTTAGTAGCAGCCTTAGCCTCTGCCTACTGGATGCCAGGAGGATCCCCTAAGTGCCTACAGACATTGCCAGGTATCCCCTGGACAGAGTCACACCCGTGAGCACCTCTGGATCTTGCTTTAGGGGACTTGTTCTGTGTTCTTAAGGGGTACAGGGGTATGGGTTGTGAGATACACCCTGTGTTCTAGCTGTGACTAGGACCTTCTGCTCCCAGAGGCTGTCTGTTGTCAGGTTGTAAGTGATGGTCCTCTGGAGTAAGGAGAAACTGGGATGTATAGTTCATCTTGAACTAGAAGCTCTGGCTTTAAAAGTTTTTGTAATTTTTTTCTTCAAATTTTTATGCTGTATAGAGATCATTCCATTGATATTTCTTTTTTTCCTTTCAGGTAGTTGAAGTAAACTAGCATTATCTCTGCCTTCTCTGTTACCACCCAGATCAGGTAGGAGTCTGCAGGGCCCAGGGGCAGGGGCCTGGCACTTGTTGCTGGGAGACCTGGCTCTGGAATCTCACTCTGCCTCAAGTCTTGCATGGGCTCAGCTCTGTCCTTTTCTGGAGCCCAGAGAGGGGGTTCCCAGCTCAACTTGCTTGGTGGTGTCATCCTCTCCTCAGAGACACTAGGCTGAGAATCAGAGGTGTTGTTCCCAAACTATTCTCTTGTGGTTTGACTTTTTTACAGGAATATTTAAATTTCCTGCCTTTCCTTTGAGGATAATCATGTTGACCAAGTACTGCCCTGCAGTGTCATAGCCTGGGTTGTATTTGACAGAGTGCCTCAGATTATAACTTCTGGTGCACTTTTCCAAACGTGTTCTTGGCTAGATTTGGGAGAGTCATGGGTTCTTAAGTGGGAGAAACACTGGTGACTACAGTGTTTGGCTTAGGAGCTGGATTCCGTGATGGGTTTGGTTCCAGCTCTGTTGCCCTAGACCCTGCTTGGTGTGTGAAGTAGACCTGATTCTTCCCAGGAGGGTTGTGTTATGCTCAATACCCTTCTCTTACCCTTTACTGGGTGTGCACTGTGTTTACCCCTTCCTTTTCCAGGCCTGGGCCCTGCCAGTCCTACAGAGAACCACCCACTCTTGTCTGAAGCAGCTTCATTCTGCCCTTCTGCCTCCTAAACCCACCGTGTGGGGGCACAGCTGAGGCCCCTTCCTCCTGGGAGCTGGGCCACCCTTTGTTTCTCCCCACCGTCATTCTCATGTTTCATGTCGTCTGTTGGACATGGGATGGAGCAGACACTGTTCTGTTGGTGCTTCTGTGTTTTCTTCTTCTGGGCTGGTGGACATTGTCCTCTTCTTATCTGTGCCTTTCTGTGGGGATAGGTCCTGCAAGGAGGAGGCAGGCTTGGATTCCCGCTAGCTGCTAGGGTTGTATTTATTTATTTATTTTTTAAGTACTATTATTTTAAGCAGAATTCAAGTTAGGAAAAGAAAGACTTTCTAATACCTAGTTTTTAGAATGAACAGACCACTTTAGGACTAAAACAAAGCTCATAGCAGCCAAGGAGCTCGAAAGCTGGGTGTAACAGCCCAGCCAGTGGCCTCAAAGCTGGGTGCGGCTCAGCTGCAGGCACTGATGCCCTTGTACCTTCACCTGTACTCCTGTAAGGGCTCTTTGTTAACCCTTCTGGTTGGGCACTGTGAGGAGCTTGGAGTGTTGGGAGGAGACAGGCAGGGTCCCCCTCCCTTGCACTCTACACTGCAGCATACAGAGGGCATTGAGCAGGTGAGCACAGATCACAGACGTTAGGTGCTGTGAAGACACTGCGGAGTCAGGGTGACTGATGGGCAAGGCTGTGCTGAAGTTTTGGCAGCCTTGCACCAAAAAGTACACAGTTGTTCAGGGTGATGTGATTCACTCCTGGGCCTGTGGTGCAGAGGTCAGTGAACAGGAAGCAAGCCCCAGGAGGCGAAGTGGCACTGGAAGGGAGAAGAGTCACACAGTTGCATGCAGTGGGTAAAGGTGCCTATCTGCAGAACTGCAGCATGGGATGCCTAGGTGTGATCTAAGTGCTGTGAAGCTTAGGCTGCTGACTGCTGGGGTGCAAGGTGTTGCAGGGCCAATAGTTTGAGAATCTGAAAAAAAAACACAAAAAATTGTCCACTGTTTTGGTAACTAGGAACTATTCATTCATATGAATAAAGCGAAACACTCAGCAGCACTGAGGGCCTGGCTTTAGCTTCCTGACAGAAGCTCTGGTGCCACCCAGTACCTGCCTCCGCCTCTGGTCCAGTTTCCTTTCTGTGCTTCCCACCACCCTTGCCTTGTCTCTTTTAAACCACCTTTCCTTTCGCACTCACCCATGCCCCCTCCTGACAGCTGATGACCTCCTTCAGCTGCCGTGGGTCCTCCTGCCTGCTGCCCTTGTTTCCCAGGGTCAGTGTGCAAGTAGCCAGCTGCTTCTCCCTGTCTGCCCGCCCTCATTTGTCTGTGCTCTCTAGTTCAGGTCTTGCCCCGCACTGGTGTTGAGGATGCAGGGCGTGGGTGTTCCTCTGGGTGACCACCCCCAGCTAAACCCTGGCCCTCCCTCCATAAGACTGCATGTCATTTAACCTTTTCTCTGACTTTTCACTCTTTCATGTCCCCAGATAACTCGTGAGAGGTCCCACCTCCCGTAGCTAGCCCCAGAAGGGCATCTGTCTCTGTATGTCTGTAAGGTGGACGAGAGATGCCACGAGCAAGACAGAATGCCAGATCCAGGCCTGGGAACCCTAGACCTGGCCCTTACTGTTCCAGCCTTTCCGCCCCAGCTGAGGACGGTATGGTCCTGCCACTTGT